GGGAGCCCCTGACTCGGGGACGGGGCCAGGCTGACTGAGCTCAGGGAGTCAGGAGCTGCAGGTGCCGCACAGAGCACAGCAGGCTTTGGCTCCGCTGCCCCAAGGGCAGTTGTGATGGACAGTCCCCCGGCTCTGCCTGTGCACTGGCCCCTTAGACACACAGCCCGTCTTCCCCTCTGTGCACACGTCGTCTCCTAAGCACACACCACAAGACCCCCTTCACGTCCCACACGTCCTGCTCTCTGACCCCAGCAGAAGGCCCATCTCTGACTGTCCCTGCCATCCCAGCCCCTACAAAACCCCAAACATGAAAGCCTCCAATCGTGTTCCCACGGGCCTGAGGTTGCGCCTGTTGCCCCCAGGGCCCCTCCTCCAGCCTAGCTTCCGAGAGAGCTAGCTGGACCTATTTCTCATCTCCCTTCATCACCCAGAGTTCCTGAGGCTGGACTCACACCGACCTCAGGGTCTTCTGCTGTGGAGAGCTCACGGCACTTGCTTGGCAAACCCTGTGAGCCCATGTCTTCTGAGGCTCTGCACTTGTACATCTAGCAACTTCTAGAAGCCCGGCAAACAGTCTATGCAACCACATCTTGTCAACACAAAAGTCTGCTTCTCTTAACTCAAGGTCACAGACAGAAAGGATAAGCACACCACTCGAGGTCCAGCTAGAAATCCAGGCACCCGGCCACGTGGGCCTTCCTGGGAGCTCTCTGACCCGGCACTCTGGGCCAGCCACGGCACTCAGCTTCCGGGAACGGCCACCCCTAAGCCCACAAGCCAGTGCCTAGTTCACAAGCAGCCTGCTCTGAACTGGAGCAGGCACACATCCTCCCACTGCCCTGCACACAGGTACCTGTAGTCGCTGGAGCGAGGGAAGGGACAGGGTCCCACGCTTGGTATGAATGATGGGTGGCAATGTTGTCCCTCTTGGAAACCATTGCTTGAACTTCCTGTTCAACAATTCCTCTGATGACACTCAACTTCCTCCCAAACCTACAATTCAGAAGAGTTTAAAGAAGAGTTTGTGTCTTTGAAGTGCTAACAGTGACAACATTAAAACCCCCCAGCCTGGCCCCCAGACAACAGGGGAACTGGAACAGCTCCACACAGCCAGCCACACTCAGGGGTTCCAGACTTCTTGGTCCCCGTTTGCCAGTCTGCAGGCAGCACTCGACAATTCGCCCTGATGCTGTGTCTCCTGCCAGCCTGGAGCAGACTCCAGGCACCACGGAGATGCCAGCACTCTCATCTCGGGGCACCTCTTGAAACAAGGCCAGGGGCCAAGAAGGGGTGCCGGAGAAGCGGCAGCCCCCTCCTTCACAAGTGCAGTGACCTGGTGTCGAGGGCTTTCAGCGGCTTGTTACGCGGCTGCTGCTCCAGGCAGCTGACGGCGGGGTTGCCGGCCACAGGAACTGCCATGGCGCTCAGCACCAAGGAGGTGATGGCCTGCACAGCCAGGACGTGGATCTGGGTCCTCTCCGTGTCTTCCTGGAAGCAGAGGATACACGGGAGTGAGAGACAAAACCCACCAGCCAGCCCCGCGCCATGTCCCAGGCAGTGCAGGTCAGGGTCCTCCCGCAGCGGGCAACCACGGCCTTATCAGGAGAGGCCGGCAGTGCGTGGATGGGGTTGAGAGCCAGCAAGGTCACTAGCCCCGGCCACGGAGGGCCACAAAGGACATGTGAGCTCAGCCATGAGCTGTCTATGCAAGTTCACGCCAGTACAGCACAGCCCTGAGATCCACCTGCTGAGCGAGGGGCTACTGTTCAAAGCAGATTCCAATGGACACAAAGTAACTACAAAGAACAATTCCTCTTCAGAGAAAAGCTAGGAAGAACTCTGGAAGCCTAATCCACAGAGCGAACAGTCTTCCACTTAGTGAAGAACTCCCACCCAGGAGAGAATAAAATAAACGAAAGAGACCTTCTAAGAATCAAATCCCTATGCACATTAAAAAACTTCAACAGGGTATGAAGGAAACCCACAGACTGGGAAAAAATATTTGGCAATGACACAGCTGATAACGGTTTTCTAAAATTTATAGAGTGCTCCAGCACCTCAACAAGACAAACGTCAACAAACAGTCACAAAACGGGCACAGGACATGAACAGGCACTTCACCGAAGAGGACCTTCAGACAGCAAACAGACACATGAAGAAATGTTCAAAATCTCCAGCTCTAAGAGAGATGCAAATCAAAGCAACTATGAGATGACATCTCAGCCCAGCAACAACAGCAAAGTTGAACAGAGCAGCAAACAAGTGCTGGCGAGATTGTGGAGAGACTGCAACCCTTGTTCACTGCTGGTGGGAGTGTAAAGTGGTGCAACCACTGTGGAAGGCAGTCTGATGCTTTCTCAGAAGGTTGGAAACAGATACAGCATTTGAGCCAGTAATTCCACTACTAGGAAGGTACCCTAAACAAACCAGACCCGACACCTAAACAGATACATGCACACACATGTTTATTGTTGCCTTATTCACAACAGCAAAGAGATGGAAGGAAACCAAGTGCCCATCAACAAATGTATGGACAGAAAAACTATGGAATATTGGTACTACGCAGCACTGAAAAACAAGGAACTCAAAATATTATACACCATGGGTGGTCCTGGAGGACACTATGCTGAGCGAAATGTCCCAGTCACAAAAGGACAAATACTGCATAATGCACAAAACAGAACAGATGTGGGGATTTGGGGGAAACTGAGAAAAGGGGATAAATAGTGAACACTGCATTGTAACAGATGAAGGAAAGGACTGTTTAAAAGGAATATATGATCAGGCATTACCTGTATGACAACAGTCCAGAATAAGAGGTGCACAGCAAAGGGAAATGGGGGAGGAGAAGAGGGAGGAAATTAAGCAACAATGAATTTTATATTTTAAAAGTGAACCGGGGGGCTAGGTAGGAAAATGTGCAACAATGAATGAATGAAAATGCAACTTTTCTACAAACTTTCATGAACATCACAATAATATTTAAAAAATAAATAAATAAAAAAGGAAAGTCCTTCCGCCTCGTCAGTTCTGTGCCTTTGTGCAGGACCATTCACTATGTCTGCCTTTTAGACAGACGTGATGTCTGCTTCCCCCTGAACAGACTGTCAGATTTTACCACGTGACCTTCACAGCTGACCACTCCACTCACGGGTACGCATCAATACCCCACAGAGAAAAGTCAACAAGAACCCCTGAGAGGTTACCGAGGCCTCAGGGAGGCAGTCGGGGGACACAACCCTGTCCACGCAGACAGCCCTCACTCGCTCAGACCACGCTTCGTGACCTGATGGACAGACCACAAGCCCCGTCGAGGACACGGTGGGCAGAGCCGCCATTCACGTGACCACGTCTATATGGGGCGGGTCCTGATGAGGCCACAGTGGCATGTGGACTGAGCTCACCTGAAGTCGGCTGACCTCAAGGCCACAGCTGTGACTACACGGTGCAGGCCTGGCTGGCCTGCTTGTCACAGCCCCAGTGCTCACACCTGCGCAGCCATCACAGGGTCTCAGCCCCAGCATTCCCACCTGGTCATCATTCACGGTGTCATGCCCGCGGTCATGTGATGTCAGCCCCACGGCGCTCACACGTGATCACCATCACAGGGTCACGGCCGTGTGTCACGTGGTGTCGGGTCCACCTATATTCTTACCTCAGGTTGGCTCTCCTCCTGCTCCATTGAGAGGGGCTGCGTCACCAGAACACCGAGGAGGGTGGCCCACGTTTCCTCAAACTGGGTCCGACTGGTCCACCCTAGGAACACAGAGACAAGGTGAGCGCAGAGCTGCACAGCATCGGGCCAGGCACCTCCTGGGACAGCACAGAGGTGAGCTCTGTGAGTCCTCACCGTCCTCCACAGGGGACATCACCACTCCACATCTGTGTTCAAGCCACAGACAGGTACGTGCTGCTGACAGGAGGCAAAATCAAATCCCTCATCACCTGGACACAGACAGACTGATGCTGAAGCATACAGACAGAGGGACAAAAGATGACTAAGAGAGGCAGGGAGAAGGGGTGGGCAAGAGGAAAACAATGGGCAGGATTCAAGGCTGGCCCAGTGCTGCTTGTGCCTGACTGACAGCGAGGGGACAGACAGTGAGACGGCTGATGACGGCCAGGGCACAGAAAATGTGCAACGATGCAATAAATGAAATGGAAACATACAGACAACGCTCAGAAAAATACAGCTCAGCACAACTGGACAACTTGAGGGTGAGGCCCGGCTTCCCACTGCTGACGGCCACCGAACCTGTTCCGGCTGCTAACAACCCCGGTTCTCCACTGCGATAAAGGTTTCAGCGCACTCGGCAAAACATCTTCACACACATTTCCATCACCACCACCCAACTTTTAATTAAAACAGTTTTGCTAATTAATTCCCCCTCCCCCCCTTATTTCTTCCTGTGATTTGAGGCAGGTTTCCACATGGTACTGACCCCTCACTCACAGTGCAACCACGGGGAACAGCACACCGCCTTCCTCCCTCTGCCTCCTCCTCTCCCTCTGCCTCCTCCTCTCCGGCCTTGTCCTGCCTTCTGTCCCTTGTCTCTAGGCAAGTGTTGCCCCTCTGGTCTCGCGGGGAGGCTCTTCTGAGGAACGCATTCCTCCCAGGGCCCCCGACAGACCCCTCCTCAACCCGCGAGGAAGATGAGGGCTGGAGAGTGGCTGCACTCGTCCGACCCCCAGACAGGTCAGCCAGGTGTACCTAGTGTGTTGATTCTGTAGATGAACTCCTTGAAGACCTCCTTTTCTTGAAGAAATTCCACGGGGATCTCAGGAAGTGCTGTGCCAAAGTCCCCTCCAGGTTTGGGGGACCACCCGAGCTTCCACACCTGGGAACAGAGAAGTAACTTCATACAGACCAAGTTGGGGCGCTGTGCTGCAAGGAAACAAAGCTTCTCTCCCTTGCCCACCTCTCCCCTGCCCACCTCAGGACGTGCCTACCTCGGGATGTACCCACTTCAGGACACGCCCACCTCTCCCCTGCCCACCTTGGGAGGCACCCACCTCAGGACGCGCCCACCTCGGGATGTGCCCAGCTCAGGCTCAGGGAGAGCCTATCCAACATTTAGAAAGCAAACGCACTGCTTTCTGGGAACACAGCTAAGCCTCTGTGCCTCAGGGCATCTTCCCCACCGAGTGACCCCTCCAATCTGCTGTAGGCCACCTCTCCTTCTGCCCCTAACCCACTACTGCCCCACACCTAGGGTGGCATGGCAGCACAGGTCAGGTTCTCCACCACTGGGGCGGGGAGGTGCAGATGTGTGATCCCACAGGCAAGTTCAGCTTCAGGCTGAGGAAACAGGCCCCCAAACACCCACTGTCTGCTCAGGTGGGGCTGTGGGGCCCCTAGGGCCCCGCAGTGAGCTGACAGCTGAGCTGAGACTCACAGCTTGGTGGTGAGGACAAATGAAAGCTGCAGACGCAGCTCCCACTGTGGACCCTGTGGTCACGTTCAAGGCCAGCCCTTGGCGGTGGCACACGTGGGAGTCACTCAGCTCCCTCCTCCATCTCAATGAAGAGATTTCACCTCCAGTCTCAGCTGCCCCCGTGCCTCAGGCCACGAAGCAGCAGGTGAGTCACCAGGTGCAGTTCTGACCAGGACCGTCAGAGGCTCTGCCAGTGTAGACGAGGCTCGAGGTTCTTTCTGACGGCTGGTTTGCCTCCACTGCACTTCTCCAGACAGGTTCTCAGACAGCTCCTGTAAGTGTCTTGTCTGCACTGCACGTCCCGGCTGAGATCTCCGGAAATACCTCGGCCATCTGTCCACACTGCGCACCCTGGTCAGACACTGTCCCCTCTGGACCCCGATGGGCTTCAGCTCCCCAAATCTAGGCTCTCCTGCTCACAGCAGCATCTCAGCCCACACCCCACGGAGGTTTGCACCAGAGGACAAGAGCTGAGTCCAGTCTTCAGGGGCCTTCCTTGTCCCAAGAGACACTGGATATGGGGTGCCACGTCTGGGACTTCTGCACCCCAGCCTCTTCCTGAGAGGAGGCCCCCCAGGAAGGCCTCCACCCAGAAGGTGCAGCCCCTGGCTGTGGGGGTGCTGTGGCTGAGAGCATGCTTTGCTGCAGGAGACCAGCTGGTCCCATGGACGCTGGCTCCCCCCACACGCGGTCACTGGCATGGGAACTGGCTGACAGTGTCTGCTGTACCCCGACTCGGGGCAGACACGCGTGAACAAGGGGCAACGAGGCCACGTCTGAAGGGAAGTACTCCCCTGGGAGCCCGCAGCTCTGGTCCACGTCACTATCCCGCATGGCCAGCGTCCAGGGGGAGGAGACACTCCCCTAACAATGACAGCTCAGCTCACTTCACACCCCAGATGCCAAGGAAATGAGAGCTGGATGTCAGGGCCAACACTGCACCCCAAGATGCACAGCCACCTCCACACCCCAAGAGGCTGTAGTCACAAATGCACCGCAGGGGACCGGGTTGGCCAACACCATACTGAGGTCCCATGGCATGGCCAAGGCTGCAGAGGGGACGCCCTGGCCAGCCCTGCAGAGGGGACGCCCTGGCCAGCCCTGCACATGAGACCCTGTGGCTAGACATGCCATTTGATCCTATTTCAGTCTGAGACGTGGGAAAGTTCTGGACTCACCAGTGGAGGGACCCGGGTGTAGCTGTTGACAAGGGGCAGGCGGGCCAGGCTGACCACGATGTTCTTCAGCACCGACGTGAGGAAGGCAGGCACGTTGCTGTTCCGTCTGTGGCCGGGGGCCAGCACCGACTGCAGGGCCTCCACCATCTCGGCCACCAGCTCACAGGCTGTGGTGACGTACTGCGGAGCTACAGACAAGCGGCGTGGTGAGGCAGGACCCGTGGGCCTCTGCCACCCTGACGCCAGCCTCTACTCGGCCCTGTCCAAGAGAGCAGCACTAGCAGACGACTCAGGCCGAGACGTGGCCGCCCAGGGTCCTCCTCTGTCCCATCTGCCTCACCAGGCTTCTATCTCTGCCCGGACTGAGACATGGTCATCTGCAATGTCCTCCTCTGTCCCCTGTCTGCCTCACGAGGTCCCTGCCCCCACCCAGGCAGAGATGTGGCTGCCCCACTTGTCCTCCTCACGAGTCCCCGCCCCCACCCAGGCAGTTACAGCTGGCTTGACCTGGTCTCCAGCCCTCCTTGCACCTGAAGCAGTGCCCACCACCCCCAGTCAGCAGGGTGACAACCCCATTGGGACACCTGCCCGCTCTGGTGTCCAGTTCTCCAGGTCATGCCCTTGGTGGCACATACAGAACCATGCGGGAATCCTCATGGCCTGTCCCCTCCAGGGGCTCTCTGAAGGCTCGAGGGGTCCCGACACCTCTCACACCCCAACTTTCATTAACTCGGGACACCAAGTCCCCCTGGCACCCTGATGGAAGCCACTGAGAAGCTCGCCACACCCCTCGCAGGACTCAGAGCACAGCATGACAGTAATGGCCCCCTGCTCGCCCTAACGGCCGGCCGGTCGAACTGGTAAGTGTCCGGGATTAGAGACGAAGATTCCGCACACTCCACACACTCCACACACTCGCTGTCCAGGCTCCTCCTGGCCATATACCCCCAGCACCCGGGCTGAGCAAGGCTGGCCCAGCGGCCATGTGGCACACAGGCGCACCCCCGAGAGGGTCCTGGGAGGGGCATCTACAGACTGTCACTGTTGAACAGAGCGGCTGTGGGGTCCACCACTGACCAGGGTTAGCAGCCAAGCTCTTCATCCGCTGCACCACCACCACCTCTCCTACACGGAGAAAGAACGCTCGCTGGGCTGCAAGACCCACGCCCCTGGCCGTAAGCACACCTGCTGGGACGCCCTGGGGCCACCTCAAGGGGACCGAAAACTAGGTCCCTCCTCAGGGCTAAACAGGACACAGAGAGCGGGCATGGTAACCCACCACCAGGCCACGTCAACCCAGCACCAACGCCGTCTCCTAGCACAGCCAGCACGGCCCAGGGGGCATGGGAGGCTGAAAGGGACAGGACAGAAAGACAAACGGAAACAGGAAAGACAGGGTGGGAGGGAGGAGAGTGCAGCCACTCTGTGGGGCTGGTGACCAGTGTCAGGAAACAACACTGAGGAACCGAGGGCGGAACGGTCGGCAAGGGTGACAGCTCTCCTACCTGAGGGAACACCTGGGGCCAGGGGGCCAGCCGGGAAGGAGCGCTCTGCAGGCTCCTGGGGGTCCCAGAGCCCAAGGTCACCAGGAAGCCTCAGTGTGCACTGCAACACACCTCTGATGGCTTCCTCCTGGCCCTGGGACAGGTCATTGGGGGTCCTGTCCCTCTCGGCCCTGGGACAGGTTGTCGGGAGATCCCAGCCCTCTCGGCCCTGGGACAGGTTGGGGGGTGGGGGGAGCGCGTCCCTGGGGAAGGAGTCATGTCTAGTGGCATGGAGTGAATTGTGTCACCGTGGGGTTGCTCAGCTTCAGAGCCCCCCAAGCCAGTGGCTGGGCAATCACACGACCTGAGCAGAGAAGAAACACAACTCCTATGGAGACAGGGAAGTCCAGTGGAAGCATGAAGCCAACCAGGAGAGCGCATCACACAAGACAGCAGAGCCTGAGAGGACTCTCGGTGCCCACCGGACACCCGCCATGGACAGAAGCTGGGCCAGCATGGCCTCCCTCTGAAGTGCTCCCCAGTCCAGGCCCTGAGGGAGCCCCGGTCTGGCAACTGAGTCATGTCCAGCCACGACTGACACAGCAGCACTAGAGCCCGAGACAGCAGTCCTGGAGTCAGCGGGCCCCCCAGGCTCCTCGCCTGTGCCACCACCACCGCACAGAATACCTCCTCAGAATCGGGGGATGCACCGAGACAGCTGGCTGGCACCAGTGAGGACACCCCACGAGCTCCGAGCGCCTCACATGTCACATTCCCACCTGACACTGCGTGCAACACTCGTTTTCCTGGGACAAGGAGGAGGCCACTCCCGGCCCTCCCAGAGCCTGGCAGCCCGCGGCCCCGGGCGCAGAGGAGGACATGTCTAAGGGTGTGGGCTCCGTGACCTTGAGAAGAAGCTGCGTTCACCCTTCAGGAGGGAGGGAAGTGCCGACATACGTGCGGAGTCTGCATCTGCTCTGTCCTCTCGGAGGGCCGCGGCGGGGTTCATCCTCCTCTCTGGGCTGAGAAGCTGGTCCCCCGGCTGCACAGCAACTGCAGTGAACACAGCAAATGCACCTTTCCCATCTGCCCACACTTCACCCCAACCCCTGACTGAGGGCTCAGGGAGAAGAGACCTTGATTCCCCACCATCACCCACTCCATGTGTCACCCAAACCCCCAGCTGTGGGGTCAGAGGAAAGGGGCCTCGATCCCTACAGTGAGATCCCCAGTCACCCACCCCACATTTCATCCACACCCCCAGCTGTGAGACCAAAGGAAAGGGGCCTCAATCCCCACAATCACCCGCCCCACATGTCACCCACACCCCCAGCTGTGGAGTCAGAGGAAAGGAGCCTTGATCCCCACAATCACCTGCCCCACGCGTCACCCGAACCCCCAGCTGTGGGGCTGGAGGAAAGGGGCCTTGATCCCTACAGTGAGATCCCCACGCATCACCCGAACCCCCAGCTACGGGGTCAGAGGAGCATGGCCTCAATCCTCAGTCAACAGGAGGGTACGAGTGCAGATGACATTAGACGTGGATCTGACATCCGGGTGACTCTTCAGTTTTGAGAATCTGGATGTCTGCCTTCAGGTTTCCAGATCCTTCCTCCCTCTATTATTTGTCATTTCTAATTCTGAGGGTTTTTAGTGAACATTTCATGGTTCACTACAACTAAAAGCAATACCCCCAACAAGTTTGGTTTTTAAGAAGGAATTCCTGGATGTTGGTTTTCAAGAAGCCCACAAATGCACAGATGAAAACAATTTAAACAATGGCACTTCAAAATGCCACTCTATAATGCTTAATAGGAAAACACAAAGCATCAAATAAACCCCCCAACATGTAAAGTATCAAGTCCAATCTTTTAAAAAATCTGGCTAATGACTCTCAGTGAGACCAATGTCCCCCTGAAGAGAACTCTGCTTATTTATAAGCTACTAGGGCTACAATGAGGTATAGAAACAGCCACTTAAACGACAACAGAAGGGAGCCATCTTTTACTGTAATCTGACGGTCACTTACAACTGAAAATATGAAATGGTCACCAGGACTAAAGATCAAAGGAGTATAGCATTAAGAAGTGCTTTTCAAGAGAGATGAAGTCTCAAAATGCTAACAAAAACCACGAAAACAAACCAGCCCCTCCCCCTCACAACACAAAGCCAAGTTCAACGGCAGCGCAGGCCCCTGCAGAAGGAGTGAAGCGCTGGCCTCTTCCTGAGCAAGTCTGTTTTCACCTGCCTCCTCCCTAGCTTGTGACGTGAGCCAGGGACTCGGACAGGTCAGTGAACTACACGTGCACGGTGCTGGCCCTGCAGACGAGGAGTGCCCACCGGGCATCTACTCACTGGCCTCGAGGGCGAAGCGCACGCAGTGGATGAGGGAGCAGGCGTGGGTCACGAACTCCAGGGAGGACAGGACGAGCCAGAGGCCTGGCAGCTGCAGTGCCACGCAGCAGCAGTCCAGGGCAGCCTGCAGGTCCAGGCTCAGTGGCATCTGCCGGTGGATCAAATGCCACGACAGGGCCTAGAGGGAGGCACGTCACAGTCCCATCAGCACGGTGCCCCGTCCCTGGCACGCCACAGTGGCAGCAGGGAGATCACGCACGGTGGCGGGGGGACACAAGGAGCTGCAGTTTTCAGCAGTTCAGCCCTCCCAGGAATACAGCTCTGGCCTCCACCCACTGTCCCCACAACCACCAGCACCCCAGTCCACGGTACAAGTCCTGAGTGCTCAGCCATGCCTTCCAATATCCCAGCATCCTCTCCTGGCCACAGCCTCGGCCCCCTGACATCTCCCTGCTGTCCCAACATCCTCTACTGTCCCATCATCCCCTCCTGACCCCTCAGCCCCCAGGGTCCCAGCCTCCTCTCCGCTGTGGTCCAGGGGCTGCCCAGTCCAGATGAGTGTATCCCCAGTGTTTCTTGACAAGCTGAGTGAACACCCTGTGCGGTGTGGAGAGGCACGGGAGCCGGCTGCACTGTGCTGGCTGGGCGCTTGTTCTAGCCAGTGGGGACACCGGTCACTGCAGAGTTCTTCCCTAAATGCAGGGCCCCATGCTGTGGCCTCATTTCTCTGCTCTCTTCCACTGTGTGCTCCTTGTCCCTGCCTGGAATGTCCAGGTTTACGAAGACGGTTGAGTTTCTCACAACAGTGGGGACAGACACAATGAACAAGTGAACAGTGAGGACAGACACGGAGAAAGGGCACACAGTGGGGACAGACACGAAGAACGGGCACACAGTGGGGACAGACAGAAGAATGGGCACACAGTGAGGACAGACACGGAGAACGGGCACACAGTGGGGACAGACACGGAGAACGGGCACACAGTGGGGACAGACAGAACGGGCACACAGTGAGGACAGACATGGAGAAAGGGCACACAGTGGGGACACAGGGAGAGCGGGCACACAGTGGGGACAGACACAGAGAACGGGCACACAGTGGGAACACAGGGAGAGCAGGCACACAGTGGGGACAGACACGGAGAAAGGGCACACAGTGGGGACAGACACACGGGCAAGAGGTGCACCCAGTGGGCTGACACGTGGAGTGGGTGCACAGTGGGGACAGTCCCCTGCGTAAGCTCAGTGAGAACAGACCTGGTTTGGACGGACACACAGAACTGGTGGCAAGGCAGAGTGGACAGACACACTGGGAAGATGGATGCCCGGCAACACTGGACAGGACACTCAGAGAATAGCACAGGTGCAGAATGGGCGGACAGACAAGAGGAAGACGTGTGGTGTGAAAGGTGAGCACAGCCGGGAGTGCACTGGCCTCCTCTCCAGCCCTCCGAGGCTCAGCAGAGGAGCTGGGACTGCTCTCCCAGAGGTACCCCGGGCCCTGTCCGTGTGGCCGAGAGGCCCTGGCCAGCACAGGCCGAGAGTGCCCAGGAGAGGCAGGAGCTACTTGCCCCTCCCTCGTCAGCAGGACGTCAGGGGGGTGAGGCCAGGCTGGAGTGCTCACAGCTCATGGTCCATGAAGGCCTCGCCTCTCTCCCTGTCGGTTCCCTCTCCCACTGCTCTGTCTCTGTGTGTGTGTGTAAGTAGGCACACATACGTGCGCGCTCTCTCTCTCTCGTCCTGGTGCTCACCTCCAGAGTCATCACCACAAACTTGACAACGTCCTCCTCCTTCTCTGGGGGGAGATGCAGATGGCTGGGAACTCGGGAGAGGACCACCAGGTACTGCGCCAGGGCCCGAGCCAGTGTGGTCAGTGACTGGTACACCGTGGCGTCCCCTGAAACGGAGGCGCTCTGTGAGGACACCAGTGCAGCCTGGCCCCTTAGCGGCGACTGTGCCATCAGTGAGCAGGTGTCCCCGGCCGAGGCAGTGTCCCAGCCGCTGAGCCCCTGCCCGTGGTTCCGGGCGCAAGCATTCCCCCAGTGCACCCAGTGTCCACGCGTGTCTGGAGAGCAAAGCGGGAACTGCGTGGAGGGCCGTGGGGAGCCCAGCCCCCGGCAATGCCCCTCAGTGGGGTCTGTAAACACTGGCTTTCCTTACCAAACAGGTCGCTGAGCTTGCTCCAGTAGGCTGAGGACTCGGGGGGGAAGGAGGGCTGGTACGGCTGGTGGGTGGCGGGGAGCTGCTGGACGACGCTGCTCATCCGGTGCAGAGTCACCAAGCGGGCCGTCTCAAAGAGGGGGCTCCCCTGGCCCCCGGAGAGCTCCCTCACACCCAGGCTTAAGCAGGGAGCCAGCAGGCTTATGTTGAACTCCTGGGGGCAGAATGGAGAGCGTTAGCATGAACCACTACACACTGAACCCCGAGGGACAGAGCGGTGAGGGTCCATGTCACCGCTCGCAATCAGGCAGGGCACAGGGAGGACGACACCACGTTCCTGAGGTAGCACAGGCTACAACACACACAGCTCGAAGGCAGTAACAGCTCGTACAAAGGAATAACTGCATCGGACGTTATGGCCAGTGAGGAGGGGTGGTGAGGAGGGGACGGGCCCTGTTGGCGTGGGTGATCACAGTAAGGAGGGGTGGTGAGCAGGGGATGGACCCCATGGTGTGGGTGATCTGTTACAGTGAGGAGGGGAAGGGCCCCGCTGGTGTGATCTGGTACAGTAAGGAGGGGTGGTGAGGAGGGGAAGGACCCCCCTGGTGTGTGCTGCCACCTCACTGTAACCACAGCCTCCGACACAGCAGTGACCATGAGGACACAGGGGCGGGCGGGCGGCGCACGTCGTATGAGGTCACGAGGAGTCACAGCACAGTCAGTGTCCCTAACCAAGCCAGCAGCAAGCCTAGTTCTGGTCCCTTCTGGACACTTTAAGGCATTACCTTATTTTTTTTAGCATCATGGGAGCTTTATTATTTTTTTAAAGTAATCCCCCCCCCACCCCACGTTGTGTACAATCGAGTCAGATCCAACTGTTCCCGGAGGAGATTGTCCCTCCTTTTCCAGGGGAGCATTTGGTGGATTTGAACCAATTGCCTTTGGGACTGTAGCGCAGCTTCGTGCAGGCCACCAGAGCTCCCTTAAATTTCTAAACTCAATACAAATGTCAAGATTACTACACAGAACCACCCACAGAACTTTTTTCAGCCTTTTAAAAAAATTGTTTGCAAACATTTCCTACATAATCCAACACACAATGGAAAATTAATACATCTTTCAAGCAAACAATGGCAAAACGTGTGTGTGTGTGTGTGTGTGTGTGTGTGTACATGAAACGAAGTTTAACTAACAGAAAGCATAACCAGTTGACAGCATAAGTCTACAGGAGAGAAATCTAGTAAGAAGCATCAGGATGTCTAAGCGGCGTCAGTCACTTCCATAACTGATTAACGAAGTCGGCCTCCTTCTCAAGCACTTGGCGTATTTTCCCACCACCATCGAATCTGAAGCCCTGCTCCTCTAGGCCTTCACCATTACTACCTCCCTGTGTTAGAAAAACACAAAAACAAACAAAAAACCCCCTGAGGCATTTTTACAAACAGTGAATGGATTTCCCCCATAAACACTTTCAAACCTTCAAGTGACCAGCACGAGATGCTGAGATATTTTGCTTACGTCCAAGAAGAAACTAAATTTATATCCAGTAGAGGATATAAAATAAAATAAAATTTTAGTGATTGGTTTGGGGTAGGTTGAAGGAATTTCACCATTTGAAAAATATCTTTAAAGAGGGGAGAGGAAAAACAAAAGATCACCAAAAATAAGTTTAGTACATTTATTTTAAAAATCCTAAAACGTTTCTTAGAAACGAGCGTCCCATCACTGCTCCGAGCAGACTGCTGAGGACTTGTGGATGATGTGGTTCTCCACCCTCTTCCTCCAAACGTCACGGTGACCACAAAGCAAGGTGATCTCAGCAAATACATGGAGCTGTTTCCCCATTTTTGTTTTAAAAAAAAAAATACCAGCAAGGAACAAAAATAAAATTCACGCACTTTGCTGCTATTTCAAAACTTCAATATTACTTTTTACACGCACTTTCCCCTACCCTGTTTGTAAAGAACTAAAACATTACACTTGCTAACCGGCAAAGACTTCACTACCTCTCAAATGCAGAACACCTAGGAAGAAGAGGAATGCGGGCTTTTTAAACAGGAGTGGATTTTAAAAAAGTAGGACTCCTTTAATTCTTCACTTTGCTGTTGTTAGGTGCCTTTGAGTTGAGTACGACACCTTCTTCTGGTATTCTTTAACTTTCAGCCAGGGCCCATCTGACATCAGCAATAATATGCTTGGTGCCACGGCCTCTTCTAAATCCTGCTTGAATTTCTGGCAGTTCCCGGCCTACATACTGTTCCAGCCATTTTTAAATGATCGTCAGCAGCATTTTCCGACTCTAGCTCCTCGCACATTTCACTGTAATATTTTGCTTTGTCATTCTGAGCTGCCTTTTGGAATCTTCTGTTCAGCTCTTTAGTATCTTGAATTCTTCCTTGTGCTTTGGCTTCTCTACGCTCCAGTGCAATCTTCAGAGTTTC